AGTGTGGGAAGGTCAAACAGCTTCCCCCTATTTGTGTCTGTGCCCCTGCCTCCTCTGCCCCCCTGCAGCCTTGGGTTCCTTCTTCCTCCCATCCTATGCTACCTCACTCACCCCGGCCTCTGCTCTCTCTCTGCACCTCCCTCCCCACTGCCTGGTCTCTGCCAGCAGGCTCTAGCCTGGGGTAGGCACTGAGCATGGCCCTAGTTCAGCACCCGTAGCAGCTTGTGTGGGCTGTTTGCTGCTGCTGCTGTGGGATTGGGCTGGGCTCCAGGCTGCAGTGTGCATGAAACAAAGGTAAGCAGGGAAGGGAGAGGGGCAAGTGGGGGAGCAGAGGCTATGTGGTGTGAGGAGAGAGGAGGGAAAAGGCTGCAAGGGGAGATGGCAGGGTGCAGAGGAAGCGGGGGAGTAGGCAGCAGCCGTGGCTATGACCTGAACCCCAGGTAGGGGCTGAAGCCCAAGTCATAGCAGCCACCTGCCCCCCTGTACATCATTTTAAGACAAGGAACATTTTTCCCTACATTAAATGGGGGGGGGAGGAAAGGGGGGCGCTTGCCTTAGAATTGGGTAAACCTAGTATTAATACAATGTCATGGTACAGTTATTTGCCTCCTGGCTGAATATACCAAAGCGATATAATCAACGTGATTAGCTTCTGCAGGGCTTCTTTTTTGTTCTGGACTGACTTGGTCCTCAGAATGGAGGCAAGTAATGTTGCAGCGATTCCACATCTCCCTTCCCCCACCAAATACTCAGAGCCAAGTGAAGCCCTTTTCCTTGCATGTAAATGTACACCCCAATTTTCTGCAAGTGGTTTTGGGGAAAATGGGCAGTTTGTATTTCATTCCTGCTGCAGTTTCATCCTTGGTTTTTTCTGTAGGTCCTTACTCTGATCACATTTGGAAGCTGTGAAAGACCTGGAGAGAGGCTGCTTTCACTTCAATGAATATTTGATCAGTAAGGGGAATTCCCCAATAGAGCCTGATCTCTATGGATTTCCAGCTGATTTGTGTGGGACTCAGAGAAAACTCAGAATATCACCTGAGTGCTTGCCGCAGCTGAGCTAGTTGAATCTTATTCATCACTGCATTTAATTTTTTGGACTTCATTGTGCCATTTTATCCCTGGCATTTACTTTAAGTTACATTTTAAAGCTACCACCCCTTTTCTGCCCCTGCAGTGACTTAACACCCTGCCACTCTCACCAGCATCCCAGATGGCCTCTGTGAGCTTGCCAGTACCACCCTGGGAGTAGCTATTAAAAAGCCATGCCTGGGAAATACAAGACTCTCACTTCCCTATGGTCCCAGGAGCAGCACGTGCTACCACTATAGCTTGCTTAACATTTTTTTCCAACTATTTAAGTTGGTTTAATAAAAGATATCAGATTCACCAAAAGAACCTTGTCTACCACTATAGGTACGCACACAGTTCCTGCCAAAGGATAATTTACCACTTGTCTTTTCCTAACGAGGAAGTTTGGCTGCTGCTTATGGGATCATTATATAGTCAGCCAATTGTTTGCTATGGAAAGCCACCATGCTATGTCATAACTTGCATAATTGCAGGATACCTAGTAAGGTGCTAATGGAGTATAGGATTGACATATTTACCCTGCAGGACTAACTGAAGATAGTGGCAGCCCAAAGGCCCAACACAGGGAGGCTGAGGTCAAGCAGAAGAAATGCAGCTCCATTTCCTTAGTGGGTGATAAGGAACAGTCAGCATGGATTCACTAAGGGCAAGTCATGCCTGACCAACCTGATTGCCTTCCATAATGAAATGACTGGCTCTGTGGATGCAGGGAGACTGGTGTATGTGGCATACCTTGATTTTAGTAAGGCTTTTGATACTGTCTCCCACAGCATTCTCGCAGGCAAGCTAAGGAAGTATGGGCTGGATGAATGGACTGTAAGGTGGACAGAAAACTGGCTGGAGCATTGGGCTCAGACAGTAGTAATCAATGCCTCAATGTTTACTTGGCATCCCAGGGGTGGGCAATTATTTTGGGCAGAGGGCTGTTTACTGAGTTTTGGCAAGCCATTGAGGGCCGCATGACAGGCAGCCGGGGCAGATAAACATTAATTTTCTAAATTTTTTAGGGGCCTTGTGGGCTGGATAGAATGGCGTGGTGGGCTGTATCCAGCCTGTGGGTCGCATTTTGCCCACTCGTGTGGCAGCCCGAGGGGGTCAGTCCTGGGGCTGGTTTTGCTCAATGTCTTCATCAGTGACCTGGAAGATGGAATAGAGTGCACCCTCAGCAAGTTTCCAGATGACACCAAGCTGGGGGGAATAGTAGATACACTGGAGGGTAAGACTAGGATTCAGAGTGACCTAGACAAATTGGAGAGTTGGGCCAAAAGGAAGCTCATGAGATTCAACAAGGACAAGTGCTAAGTCTTGCACTTAGGATGGAACAATCCCACGCACCAGTACAGGCTGGGGGCTGATGGGCTGGGCAGCAGCTCTGCAGAAAAGGACCCGGGGGTCACAGTAGACAGTAAGGTGAATATGAGCCAGCAGTGTGCCCTTTTTGCCAAGGAGGCTAATGGCATACTGGGCTGCATTGATAGGAGTGTTGCCGGTAGGTCAAGGGAAGTCATTATTCTCTTCTATTCAGCACTGGTGAGGCCACATCTGGGGTACTGTGTTCAGTTTTGGGCCTCCCACTACAGAAAGGATGTGGACAAATTGGAGAGAGTCCAGCAGAGGGTGACAAAAATGGTGATGGGGCTGAGGGGGACATGACTTATGAGGAAAGACTGGGGGAACTAGGCTTATTTAGTTTAGAGAATAGGAGCCTGAGAGGGGATTTAATAGCAGCCTTCAACTACCTGAAGGGGGCGGGGTCCCAAGAGGATGGAGCTGGACTGTTGTCAGTGGTGGCAGATGACAGAACAAGGAGCAGTGGTCTCAAGTTGCAGCAGGAGAAGTTTAGGTTAGATATTAGGATGAATTCTCTCACTAGGAGGGTAGTAAAACACTGAAACAGGTTACCTAGAGAGGTTACCCAGAGGTGTGGTGGAAGCTCCATCCTTGAGGGTTTTCAAAATCTGGCTAGACAAAGCTTTGGGATGATTTGGTTGGGGCCAGTCCTGCTTTGAGCAGGGGGTTGGACTAGATGACCTCCTGAGGTCCCTTCCAACCCTCACTTTTTATGCTTCCTCTGTGTCAATGTAGCTCTTCAGCCACTGGGCAGGTGAATGCTTTTAATATCAACACCCAAGAGCATTCTTTAAGCTTGTAGGGAAATAAAATAAACCCACTCAGGAATTTTCGAGGCTTAGTTTTCATCACACATCCTTGAGCTGCAGAATCAGAGTTTTTCTCAGTCATCAAATCCTGTCCCTTCACACTCACCTAGCAATTCCCTTCACACACTGAAGTTCTTCAGACAAGTGGTGAAACCAAGCATTGATTTCCTGTTTGTTAGGCATTGAGCTGTCAGGCACAGAATGATAAAAAAGGGTTAGAGTTGGTAAAAAAATATTAATTCAAAGTACACAGTCTGCAAACGCTAAGACCCTCTCCCAAAAATTCTTGGCTAACTGTTATCTTGGCAAGATAACAAAAGAGTCAAAATAGACATGATTATAAATATATCTTTTTTAGTCCACTGGCTTCGAGGTTGTTGCTCTGTTTTGCCATGTGAGAGACCTCTCATGACCTCAGCTGTCAGCTCTCTCTCAGGGATATGTCTACCTGGAAAGCAAAGGTATGACTAGATTGTATAGGCAAATATTTATATAGGTTCCCATCTGGCTTGCACAGGTCACAACTGCAGTGAAGACAGGGTGGTGCAGGCTGTCCCTCAAGGAACCCTGTTTCATATACCAGTTGCTATTCTGTGCTGCTGGTGTCTTCACTGATCTTATTACTTATGCTAGTTAGACTGAAGCTGGCCCAGGCCTGCCTGCCGTCACTAGTCACACCTGCATTTTGCTCTGTAGCAGTCATCAACCAAGCAACAGTCCAAAGGTAGAGTGCTGAGCCCTGGCAGACAACAGGGATCCTATGCTGTTCCTCCAGCCAAATAAGGTGTACCAGTGTGTGAATGTCAGGAATTCACTATGAATTTGAATTGGGGTTTGGACCCTAGAAATGGGGCATTCAGCAGAATACAATTTCCGATCACCAAACAAACCTGACTTTGTTTACCACTTCTGTCAACATTTGTCCCATCTTCATTTCAGCTGAGTTTGGGTGGTTGGTTGGTGGAGTCTCAGTTTCATCTCTGTTGTGTGAATACCACTTGTACGAGTCAGCTTGTTCATTTCTATTGGTAGAAGACAGAAAACCCCTCAGACATTGCCTTTCCACCATGAGAAAAACACTCACAGCATTGATATCCCCTTCCACTGAATCAACCTTTTTGAAAAAGAGGCAATTTAAACAAAAGCCCAAATAGAATTTTTATCCCCAAAGGGAAAAAGGCCAGAAACTCCATGAAATCCACTAGGATGCCGCTCACACTACTAATTTGGTGTAGAAGGTGCCCCAATTACAACAGCAATGGGTGGCAATATAAACAGGGTGACCATAGTTATTTTACGGACATCTGGGATGGGGAAGGTACGGTGGGGGAGGGGGGAGATGGGTGCACACACGCGCACACACACACATACACATGTGTATGTGCTCCGGGCCAGGGCTGGAACAGAGAGCACAGTGCCTTTCTCACTGGAGCTGCGGCTGTGAGCTGGCAGTGGGGCGCCGGCCAGGCTGGGGGGTCTGGCTGGGTCTGACTCACGGCTCTGGACCCATCCCAGCACCTGCAGCTGCATCCTGGCTGTGCGCCTCCAGGCCAGATGAGCTTAGCAAGTGCCGACTTCACAATCCCCTCCGTAGTTAGGGCA